GGGGTAGATGAATGAGGAAATGTTTATATATATGCAGAATATGATGGTTTTATGATGTATACCTTACCTGTGCATGTGCAGATTATGAAGATATCTCGTGCAAGCATGTATGCGCTGTAAGTTTGAGTGTGTGTGTGTTTCTTTTCATGATTATAATATGTATTATGAAAAAATCGTCGAAAAATAAACAATAACAAAAACAAAACAAAACAATGAAATAACGTGTTACAAACAAAATTGAATGTTACTATATATAATTCGTACCATCTTAACGAGAATACTTGACGAGAAAGACGAATGGTGGTTCATGTATAAAGTTGTGAACTATTTTTGAATAAATAGAATGTACTGTGTGACATTCTGTGAATAACACGACGAGGTCAGGATCAAATCGTTTGAATGATTAAATACTTTGTTGACAACATCTTTGCTGAGTTCGGTGGTAAGATTTTCCAGCAAACTGTTGGCATACCCATGGGTACATGTGCACTTCCTGTTCTTGTTTTCGCTTAGTCTGAACTTATCGATGTGTTTATCAGAACAAGTCACATTAACCTGCCAAGTTCTTTAAATACACTTTCAAATTTATCGGCGATGTGTTATCTTTAAATAACATTAGTGTTTTTTTATTCACATCGAGCGTAGATATACCCTCCATAACTTGAAAACAGGGACGCCAGATTTGTTTATACAAGTCGTGTACTTTGAACAAGCTCTATGATAAACTCACATCCTTGTCCGATTTTGAATTTTTCTTTTATTAATGGAATATCAACATCATTACTTCTCCTATCTTCAACATTTACGCACTTGTTCGGAGCATCATGGTTTTCGTAGCACAGACGAACTGACTGAAATAAAGGCTATATCGAGAGATTTTATTTCCTTGTGTGAAACGAGTATCGATGTCTTTGGTTTTGCTCATCAGTCTGCCTTGAGATAACATTGTCTCTAGTTTCTATGATTTTGTCTAGAGTTACATGGTAGGGTGTCGTCAGTGATACAGGAAATACTTCCCCTTCTGTCTTGTCAAAAGACCAAATAGTCGAATGTTACACTGCAAACGTTATATGGCTTCGAGTATCCTCAATTTTCCCAGTCATTGGCAAAATCAGTTTTTATCATTCATTAATAGATATGTAAAGTAGATATGTGTGGATGTGTGTTGATATGATATTCTGTATAATGTACATGTTCTGAAAATCTTGAAAAAAAATAAACATTAAAAAAAAAAAAATGGAACAAGAAATTAGGCTTGAGCAAAATATTCCATGCTTGAGCATGAGAACGGTTTCAAGAATACGGGTCTGGGTCTTATTTACCTTTTTTTCACGTGACGCCGTGCCAATCTTTCCTTTGTCCATATTATGCTAGATATTACTTCGATTTTGAGTTTGTTGTACGGTTTATTTACCACGCACTTAGCTGTCTGTACGCTAGTACACGCAGGTAACGCCACCGAATTTTCAGATAGGTAAATAAAACAAGACACTACTTGTCACACCCCCTTGTCCCCTACCAAGGCCCTACCCTGGACCCACTCCTAGATAAATCATCTCTGGGCAAGGGCTTACACAGCTGTTCTATAGTTTCGTAGCAATGACGAATTAAAGATACATAACAACGATAAAAACAATACCAACAAATGTCTACAATATTTTTTAATGAAGTATAGAAAATATTTGTTTTTAAAATCCTGCTTGGAAGCAAAGTTAAGAATAATCTAATCTCAGCAGACTCCGCACACGAAATATCGTGTGATTCTAATATTCTGCCGTAGCGTAAGGGGACAACAGAGGTAGCCATGAGGATGACAATAGTCTCCAGTACAATCAATATCGCAATGTCTCCATTGTTCTTCAAAATAACCGATATGACAAGATGTCTACAATATTATGATGGCGCAGTCGAAATATTTAAATTGTCGTATAACTGAGCAAAATCGCAAAGATGCATATCAAAATACGCCTGTATGACTAACATATTCATGATTCGTGGACCGAATGATAAAAACAGTAATATACCACTACCCCAATGCCAATACATCATCATACGTGTATTATACTCCAGTAGATGTTAGAGGGTTATCTGATGTATGTAAACAAACGAGTACCCCAAGTCCGTACAATCTTTTAACTCCTAGCTATAGGTGGCTTGGCCAAAAATTACAAGGTCATGTCAATGGTTGTATGTAGGTCACTTAACGTTCCTATCACAATATAAAGTTCGTCGGACGGTGGCAACGATAATATTTAGACTAGTGTTGTGCAATATTGACTAGGTTCAAGTAACGAACTCGGGCACCAGGTCAAAATGAGAAGTCAGCATTATGCAACACATTTAAATACTGACTTGATAAAAATCGAATTCTTAATACTCGAGTACAACGTATCAAGAGTTAACCTTAGTTATCTCTTTTCAGAATGATAAATGTCAAACATACATACAACACTTAGGCAACCATATGAATAACAAATAGGATCGTTTGAATATTTTTTTGTGCTTGCTTTCTCAATACCTGACAATTATATTTGTGTGATTGGCATTGAACAGGTAGGTTGTATCTTCACGTTATTTCGGGAGGGTAGCTTTCAAGCATTCATCCGAATATTCTAGTTTGCCTTCTGATGGAGGGGTATTCGATTAAAACTTTTTTAACAGAGCATATTTTCAAATGTGTACGGATTAATTATTTAGATGTATTGTGTATGTGTGCAGGTTCTCTTCAATTACAGAAATGAATTGGGCCCATTTCACAATTTACTCCAGAACTATAAAAGTTGACAGTAATGCCAAGCCATGTTAAATGTTCGAGACATACATGTAAAGGCCCTGGTTGTTACAATAACCTCGTCAAAGGACCTGGCTGTTGCTGTAATCTTGTATGATGAAGGATCTGGTTTTAACTACATGTATTACTTTATATGATGAAGGACACGGTTATAACTATCATCTTGTTCAAAGAAGGACCTGGTTTTAACTATCACCTTGGATGATGAAGGACACGGTTATAGCTATCACCTTGTTCGATGAAGGACCTGGTTTTAACTATCACCTTGTATGATGAAGGACACAGTTGCTACTATAACTTTGTAAGATAAAGGACACAGTTTTAACTATCACCTTGTTCGATGAAGGACCTGGTTTTAACTATCACCTTGTATGATGAAGGACACGTTTATAACTATCACCTTGTTTGATGAAGGACCTGGTTTTAACGATCGATCACCTTGTATGATGAAGGACACGGTTGTTACTATAACTTTGTTAGAATAAGGACACGGTTGATACTATAACCTTGTTCGATGAAGGACCTGGATGTTACTATTACCTTGTTATATGAAGGACGGTTGTAACTATAACCTTGTTAGATAAATGCCCTGGTTGTTACTATCACCTTGTTAGATAAAGGCCCTGGTTGTTACTATCACCTGGTTAGATAAAGGCCCTGGTTGTTACTATCACCTTTTTAGATAAAGGGACTGGTTGTGACTATAACCTTGTTAGATAAAGGCACTTGTTTTTACTATTACTTTGTTAGATAACGGCCCTGGTTGTTACTGTAACCTTGTTAGATAAAGGCCCTGGTTATTACTGTAACCTTGTTAGATAAAGGCCCTGGTTGTTACTATAACCTTGTTAGATAAATGCCCTGGTTGTTACTATAACCTTGTCAGATAAACGCCCTGGTTGTTACTATAACCTTGTTAGATAAATGCCCTGGTTGTTACTATCACCTTGTTAGATAAAGGCCCTGGTTATTACTGTAACCTTGTTAGATAAAGGCCCTGGTTATTACTATCACCTTGTTAGATAAAGGCCCTGGTTGTTACTATCACCTGGTTAGATAAAGGCACTGGTTGTTGCTATCACCTTTTTAGATAAAGGCCCTGGTTGTTACTGTAACCTTGTTAGATAAAGGCCCTAGTTGTGACTATCACCTTGTTAGATAAAGGGACTGGTTGTGACTATAACCTTGTTAGATAAAGGCCCTGGTTGTTACTATTACTTTGTTAGATAAAGGACACAGTTATAATTATCACCTTGTTAGATGAAGGACGCAGTTATAATTATCACCTTGTTAGATGAAGGACGCAGTTATAATTATCACCTTGTTAGATGAATGACACAGTTATAATTATCACCTTGTTAGATGAAGGACACGGTTATAATTATCACCTTGTTAGATGAAGGACACGGTTATAATTATCACCTTGTTAGATGAAGGACGCAGTTATAATTATCACCTTGTTAGATGAAGGACACGGTTATAATTATCACCTTGTTAGATGAAGGACGCAGTTATAATTATCACCTTGTTAGATGAAGGACAGTTATAATTATCACCTTGTTAGATGAAGGACACGGTTATAATTATCACCTTGTTAGATGAAGGACGCAGTTATAATTATCACCTTGTTAGATGAAGGACGCAGTTATAATTATCACCTTGTTAGATGAAGGACACGGTTATAATTATCACCTTGTTAGATGAAGGACGCAGTTATAATTATCACCTTGTTAGATGAAGGACACAGTTATAATTATCACCTTGTTAGATGAAGGACACGGTTATTACCATCACTTTGCTAGATAAAGTGACCCGGTTTAGATGAAGGCCCAGGTTGTTACCTTGTCCTGCCGTTTACAATTAATGTTATCCTACAATCCATAGAGTGAACGTATCACCAGGCACCTGCTACCAGGTGGAAACACAGCACGGCTGTAATGAACACATCAGCTGTAAAATCTTCAACACTCCGTCTCCTTATCTGAACTGGAGCTGTTTACAGAAACATCATTCTGTACCTAACAGCGTTGCCTAGTTTTGTTTGCATTAGTTACCCAATAGTCTCTTATCGTCAAATTTTGAATTGAACTCGAGAAGTCCACGTCCATAGTCCGACTATAAAAACTAACTTTATTTCCTTAGGCTACTGATTAAAACGTAACGTTAACTTAATATATCCGCAAGCTACTACTCAAAACATAACACCAGCTGAATATTTCAGTCATTTAATGAATAGTACATAATGATACAAACATGCATTTATATTATATGATTATTTACAAAATGTTTAACATAGTTATTGCAAGTTTAACATGTGTCACGTCTCAATATTGTTTCAGTGCAACTAGTTCTGAAATCTGTCATCTCCATCCACATACATGACAATACCAAGACATCATTCTACCCTCAGTGGTCTCTTACCCCTTTTTCACACATGATGGGACATTTTCGAATTTGATGATACAGATTTACATACACAATGCACAATGTATTTGTACCTGTCCAATTTATGGAAATAAATCTATAAAGTGCCTTATGATTACCAGTTAGAGCACTAGCTTTTGTTTGTGAGCTGTTTATATATTGTGCACAACGACCACTGTAAACAGATCCCATGTTATGTGTTGTAGTTATATCAATCATATTACCGATTTTTACACAAAACGCTTACAAAAAGGCCATAACCAGTCATAGAAATTAACGTGCGACAGTAAAATGTGTTCCCCTACATAAGGATGACAGACTTATCTCCCCTCTATGTAAAAGCATCAGTACCTCTAATGCTTTACATTTACATTTTGTTCAATTCAAACAAGTCATGTAAATAAAATACACTAATTATTAAGGTTACTTTTTTCATTTATTATACACCTATATACGCAAATTTTATCTCAAGTTTCTGTTTGGATTCCGATTTATAACTCAGATGAGTGCAAAAATATATAATATTGCATTAAATTATCAAAGTGCAAAAGACAAATTTTAGAATATGTTTCAACCATTTTTTATTTTGGGATACAGTGAAGCCCCATAAAGAAATTTAGAAAGTGAGCAGAAAACCTGTCAAATGCAGTATTAAAGACGATTTGTTTCTATTTCATTTTTTTCTTTAGTGTTAGTTATTTACATAATGATATTTTTTTACATTCCAATATAGTTAGCTTTCCGAAATCTTTTTATATTTAAAAGTTCAATATATTATTTGGCTGTCAGTAACCTATGTCAGACTTTCTTTTTATTTACATACTTTTTTAAACCGTCTGATAAGTAATATGTGATTTTTCGTTAGGGAACCTTTTGGACAAATCTCAATACTGTCCTACAAGGCTATGTATTGTGTTCCTACTAAATGGGTTATCCCAATACTCAGAGACCAACATTAATGAAGACTGCAGTGTTAAGATTAATTAAATAATGACATAGTATTTCAGAAAGAAAATACAATGCACCTCTACAGGAAGTTAACCTTCAATACAGACACCAAGATGTAAATAAAAAGGGATTTATCAGATTTCAGTAACTACACTTTCAGCTTCAAAAAATTAAGTGAAGTTAACGACAGCAGACACAGACCTTTCTACTAGATATGCAATACAGCAATGAAAATTCTGAATAATTCATTTATTAACATTAAAATCAACTGATCAAGACGATAGACATCACAATAGGATGATGGTTGCTACAGTGTTTTATCTGTAGACAAAGACTTTTAACATCACATAGTTAATTATCTGGGTAACATTTGTCATTAACTTTATATAGATTCACTGGGGTTAAAACCAGCCAGATTGGAAATATAGGAATCTTCTCACTAAATCATTATCTCTTTTTTTGAGAACAAATATCAGACATAAACAATGAATTCTTTGGAGAAGATTTCACTGTACCTAAACAAAATGATATCCAACATGGGATCATTCACAGTAGTTTTATCGTATAAGGTCACTTTAATAATTCCAGTTATCAATTCCAATGTATAGCGTATCATCTCAACAGAGTTTCTCCCATCCTAGATACTCCGGAGTTATGCTAACTTTCGCTCCCTGCACTCCTGGAATATGTCATAGCAAAATTGAAGGCAGGTAGCTAGCTATTTGATTGGTCTTGGTGAAAAAACCTGACCAATTTAAGGTTAATACATGTCCTTTGAAAATTATAAAGGAGCGACACCCGACATCAAAGCCAGTAAATTTTACTGTTACAGGAGCGCGAGATTCTTTTGATGCACATCAAAGGATCAAAACTAGTTTTCTGGTCTCATCCACAAGGTGGTGCACACTGAGCCTTCAATTTTGCTAGGACATATTCCAGGGGTGTAGAGGGCGAAAGTGAACGTAACCTTTGGAGTATTGAAGATGGGATTTTCCAGGTAGGCACATATTGGGAGGCAGAAAGGCATTTTCTTGTGATTTTAAACCCAATCCATTTAACACAATTTAATTTTAACCTCTCCCTGCTATATATTGTAACGATAATTCAGCACTATATATTTTTAATGAAATGAAATTCAAGTAAACACCATTCATCCCGTCGTCAGATACCCACGGCTAAATTCGCTCCGCTACCGAGTACTCACTCATCACTGACGAGCGAGTAGCGGAGCGAAACTAGCCGTGGATATCCGACGATGCATCCATCCATCAATTAATTTGTTCACTTTGTCAAATTTTCAAACTGAACCACATCAGAAAAGACTGAGGTAGGACTGTGGCCATCAACAGCTGTGTATGGATCGTGCTGTTTGTAACTTGTTATTGCTACCAATGATCAGTAACCGAGATCTGACCATCACTTAAGGATCCCTGTACCACTGCCAAAAACTGTAACTATGCCAGGGAAAGTTTTTCTTTGACACAACTAAAATTTTGATAAATCATTTCTGAAAAGATTTTTTTTTTTTTAATGATTTTTATGAAAAAGTATTAGAGATTTCAACAAGAGTTGTGAGTGTTTAAATGCAATGGGGTTTTTAGACCAGAATCCAATTCCAATCATTATATTCTTAGTCTATAACCAACTGCGCTATCTTTAGACCAGAATTAAACTCCAATCATTATATTGTGGTCTAACTAACTGCCAGAGCTAGCAGCTGGTCAACAGTGCTACACATACCCTGGCCCAGTCAAGCTAAAGGGCAAGTTCAGTCATCAACCATTTACCATAGTTTGGCTATTACACCTAATGTACTTACACATGCTGGTAAGCAACAACCAATCACTGCCTTGCTTTCAAATAATCACGCCTGTGCAGACGACCACTAGTTGCTCTGGTCCGACTTAAGGAAAACTGTAGGTTGTACTATAGTGGCCAGGAATGGGCACCGTAACTTCTTGTTAATAAAGTGAGAGTGATCGTACTCTAGTTAGACCACAGTCACTATAGTTTGTGATCAAACTCGCCCATAATTTCATCCAAAGCGAAATTAAGAGGAGACTACTGTATGTGCAAATAACTGAAGTTGAAGTTTGTAATGTTTTGTCTGCAATGGGACAGGGATCCTCAATACAGTTACTGTCACTTTGCAATCAAATATTTAGGACATCTAGTACAACCAGCACTATAGGGTAATTCACTTGCATGTGATACGCAACTCATTAACAATTAGAGTTGCTTTATCTGACACAAAGTTTGTGTTATCTTTCACACATTTGCACTTTAATATTGTGAAGTATAGGCTTTCACAGAATTTTAAAAATACAAAATGTACAAAGATTCAGATTTGTGCTGAGGTTAAAAATATGCACTGAGTATTTTTTGTTATCAGAATTGAAAGTACACATGCCAGATATAAATATCCATCATGTTAACAATTTTATTGAAATAGTCAAGATCAAGAATATTTGACAATTATTTCAATATTGTCATGTATGAAAGAATGATGCTAAAACAAGTGATTTGTGCATATTTCAAATTTTTCTATATTTTAAATGGACATGTGTTGCTACCGAAACAAAATGTGTCAGGACATCTTCTGGCCGGGAAAGTAAGCTGACGCTAACGGTGGTTGCGAAGTCCTGGGCACGATGCCATGCTGGCTGAGTCGGATTGAATTTGCAGGAGGTACAACACTGGACTGTATTGGAGGTGGAGATCCAGAATGGTGGACGAGGCCCCGTAACGGAATAGCGTCATCACGCTTCTGTAGGAATTTAGGGTCTAAAGGAGGATCACTATAAAAAGAAAATAACTCAAAAATAAACAAATTGTGTATTACACTGACAACACCAAACAAAAGCTATCCTGGCATTTATTATGACACTGAACAGAGCAGGTCATGCTTTCTGTATCATTAACTACATCAAACATTACCTATTCAATGAATAGTAAGAAATATAGACCGTACAAAAGTTTATGTTTGAAGTTGATCTTATTTAACAATTTTGAAAGCAGTCAATTATATGTATCTATCTGTTTTTCTTTTTTTTTGTTTGCTACCTACTTTTCCTTATCTCCCCCTGAGCCTCCCGACCCCGGAGAGTGGTGCGGTCTGATCTCCTCGGGGATGGGAACAGGTGCCATCTTCCCTTTGCCTGGTAAGGGTTGGGGCAGTCCACTTTTCCTGGGGTTTCCAGGGTTATATTGTATCTGTAAAACAGCAGTGAGTTGGTATGACTTCTTCAGGATTACGTTTAAGGATTGAAAAGCATAAATCCTGTTGCTTACAACATATGGCTGTGACACACAGGAGCACCTCTTGCAGAAAACATTATTTGCAACTATGTTCATACTATCAAAAAACATTTCAGAATATGAATTTCCAACTTCATATTTACATAAACAAGAGTATAAACAAGAGTACTGTAGGGCGGAACAATATACGCCCGTGGAATGCCATATAGTGGTATTGTTACTGAAATAAACAAAGGGCAATAACTTTTGGAAATATTGTCGAATCAAAATTCTTTTAAGGGAGACACAACTTCATATCATGATTATAATGTATACCAAGTTTCAAAGAGATCGGTCGAAAAATGTAGGAGATTGCCGGACAAACAAAAGTTTACGCCAGACGGACGGACAACCCCATACCATAATACTCCCGTCAAAATTTGACGAGCGTATAAAAACAAGCAAAATCTATTCATCGTTAAAAAGAAATTGTTACTACATGTAGCAGGGTAATATGAAGCGATCCAAACCGAATGATTTCAGAAAACACTTGTTATGTTCCCTTAAGTTGTTGAGGTAATGAGTTCACTTTCAAACAAGTTAAACAGTCAACTGACCTACTTCTGCAAATGTACAGATATGCAGGTTGGCTAAAGCAAGCAACATTTGAACTGATATTCTTGTATCAAATATTTCGGAAAATCAGAAGCCATAGCAGCAAACTTGAAAAGTATGAAAACTGAAACTTCAAAAGTTAGTTATTTGATAAAAACATAAATGTTATGTATCATTCCTATATGAGCCTTATATGTAATTTGTAGTCAATTAGAGGTCACAGTGCACATGTGGCCACCTACGAGCTTGGATCAAGAAAAAATCTTCGCAATCTACACATTCATTACCAATCATGATTAATGAGAAATATCAGTTTAATCAGCCCATTAGAATATGAGGTCAAGCTTTACACAGCTTTTCAAACTGGAGGCTGTGGCAGCCATACAAACTGGAGACTGTGGCAGCCATACAAACTGGAGGCTGTGGCAGCCATACAAACTGGAGGCTGTGGCAGCCATACATACTGGATATCTGATCACCCCATAAAGTATGAACACTTCCTCAGGGCGATGTCAGTAACATTTCCATTATAAATCATTAAAATTTCTTCTGTACAAGTATTTCAGATGAAGTTGAAAAGTTAAACGTTTATGTCTGATAAAGGAAAACAGACCTACAAGAACCCCAACAAGTCACTATTTTGTATGCAATATTTCTTAACAGGAAGCTCATTTTGAATCGGTTTTGCCTGTAACTGAATGTTGGGGCAAACATATATCATACATATTGTTAGAGTATATATTGTGTACCTGTTGATGCCTGTGTGGGTTTGGGTAGGACCTTGGCATGGCCACACCCATACTGTGACTCTCAGGATGGGACCCTTGGGACCCGTAGCTAGAGGTACTATAATTATGCTGCCAAAACAAAACAAACAACATATGATTACTATATCATATTTTAGGCATTCATCTATTAAAATAACATCAGAATATTTTTCTTAATGAAAGCACTTTACTTATATTATACATTAATACAGCAGACATCATACCCTATATTTCTCTCGGGACAATTATTATTTATTATTATTTATTGCAACTTTCAAAAGTTCAATTTGATACCAGACTTCATAATTGCCAATGAAAATATAATAGCACATCGTTGCTTTACATACGGCAGCTGCAATAAGCATTGATGTTAGGGTTGGGTAACTACTAAAATATATAATGTCTATGAGGAATCACCTACCATGGCTGAGGAAGGCCTGAAGTTGGTGGTAGCACCTGGCATCTCAAACATACCCACCCTCTGATGGTTTACCTGGGTCTCATTGATCTGTTTATTCAACCACTGTATCACTGGAACCAACAAATTTAAACATTTTTTTTAGACATTTTGAAAAAATCAAAACGAACATTTACTTCATTTACGTCATACACCAATTTGTTTTTAATAAAATGTTATCCATTTTTAGATAGAGTACACTTCAGTATGAAATATGAATAAATATATATATAACATACAATTGTTATTATCTGTATGTAGTATTACCTAGATTCATATTTTTAGATAGAGTACACTTCAGTATGAAATATGAATAAATATATATAAAATCATCCTTGATATCCAGGGGTTACGCTCACTTTCGCTCTCTACACCCCTGGAATATGTCATAGCAAAACTGAAGGCACGAAGATAGCTGTTTGATTGGTCTCGGTCAAAAAAGCCTGACCAATCGCTAGGCTAATATCTGTCCTTTGAAGATTACAAAGATATTCACGACTTCAAAGGCTGTCAATTTTTCCTGTTACCTGACCGGCGATATTCTTTTGATGTACATCAAAGAATCAAACTAGTCTTCCTGTCTCATCAACAAGGTGGCTCACACCGAGCATTCAATTTTGCTATGACATATTCCAGGGGTGTAGAGAGCGAAAGTGAGCGTAACCCCTGGACATCGAGGATGATATAAAATATAATCGTTATTATCTGTACGTAGTATTACCAGAAAGATTTATAAAGACCAATATAGTTATCACCACATTCAAAGTCACGACTGACAGAGCGTGCAAACCCTATAACCCCCTCCAGCAGTATCAAAGGGAGACAAGTATGAGTGTCGTCCAATTATTACTTGGAAAGTTACCCAATTAAGATTCAGAAAACAGGAAAACAGGAACAACCTGTTATGTAATACACAAAATAATAAAGCTTAAATATAGAACTACAAACCGTTTTCATTTGTTTTCAGTAACTGGCGGCTTTCTTCTAACTTTTCCATTGTTCCTTTGAGATTCTCATTCAATTTAACATTCTGAAAATAATCAAAGAATAACACTTGAATAATTAAGATGATTTAATATCATATACAACAATCATTGTCCCAAACCTTGTTATTACTGTAAATTACTTTTTCTTTTGCAAATTTTATTCAAATTGAAAATCTTAAAGTATTTCAAATTATATCAAATACCAATTAAAAATTTTATTATGTAAAGAATGTGCAAGAAAAAAAATTGCTCCATTCATATAAAAGGCTGGTACATTATGCCAAATGCAGAATAGGAAAAGCTAAATGTGTTGTGCAAAATTTGAATGTTTAATTTAAAAGGTAAAATTTGATCACATGATTTTAATGGCCGAAATATATATATACATGGAGTAACAAGGTTACCGCGAGCGGTANCTTCCTTTTAAAATGAGGATCTGGGAACAAGAAACCTGCTTCAATGAGGTACCAATAAACTAAATTTACCTCTTCTGTTGTTTGTTTGAGATTGGCCTTTGTTGAGGCGAGATCCTGTCGGAGGCGTTCCAACTCCTGGTCCTTCTCCCCTAGTAATTTTTCTTGTTCTGTAGCTATCTGATTTCTCAGTTTAATCTACAACATAGTCAGCAAACGTTTGTAATGTCAAGAATAGCGATGATCTTCTTGTGAAATTTATACTCTCTATATTACATTCATATATTGTATTTTCTCATAGTAACACCCCTGATCTAAAAGATGCCCCCCTCCCTCTTTTTCAAAAAAACCCACATTGATGCTGGAATTATCCTACCTGCTGTGTTGAAACCAAAAATAACTCCAAATTCAAGACAAAACATGACCATATACTAGGTAACATTTCAACTTGATCTTTCACAAAAAGACAAGTTTATATCATTAATCCCACATGGTCCTTTAAACCATAGGTGTCAACCTCTGAAACCTACAATGAGGGAATGAGGGAGCTCGAGAAAGTGTGTGAAATGCGACTAAAACTGCTTTGCTTAATTTATCTTTCTCTTTTTATCATATTTCCCTTTTTATCAAAATAACTCCAAAAAGCATTCATTTGATTCAGACACACCTGTTATGATCATCACACAAACCCTGCTGTAACGAGGAGATCATTTGACAACAGGATGTAGATTCTGAGTTTGTGTCAGTTTACACTTGAATGAGTGAGATTGGTAAACTTTGGTGAAACCTCCAAATGAGGGAGGGTTGACAGCTATGATATTAAAACAACACAGAAATATTGGAACAAAGATGAAATTTGGTCTATAATTGGTCTTAGTGTGGACCAGGTGGTCAATCCTGGAAATAATCAACTTCCACAACATTGATTTTACCTTTGCATGATAATTTTTAATCTCTCCTTGTAGTTTCTTGATGATCTCATTGCCTTTCATCAGTTCCTCTGCCATGGCTCGTACTTTGTGTTCCAGTTTGTGGATATCTTTAGATTTGTAGTCCACCTCGTCCTCAAATTTTCTCTGAAAAGAGGGTACAGAAGACAATATGAAGTGAAAATGTCATTATGATCCAACACTTTAAATGATATTTTATATATAACTGTATAAAGTGTTCTTCAGTCTAGTTAGTCTACAGACAAAAACAGATAGAAGCCTAAAAAATCAAGTTTCAGCACTTACCTTTTGGTCTTGTTCAGACCCCAAGAGATCAGTTGATCTTGTAATGACCTGCTCTTTGTCCTTGACTTCCTGTTCGAGGACGGCCACACGGGTACTAAGTTGATTGACGAGTTTCTCCTGTTCGTGGTAGTCTCCATCAAGGGTTGTGTTCTGTTTCCTCAGACTCTGCAACTCTTGTTTGGCTCGTAAATGCTCCTCCTCCAAAGCCGACAACTTGGACTTCATTTCCCGAATACTTGACTCTGACTTGTACTTACGGTCTAATAAATCCTACAAGAAAATATAGAAAACAGATTGTCGTAAATATACATTGACTATACTCATAGATTTTCTTAGGGTGAATTCAGGGCTTATAAAGGCCCCTTCCCCTATATAATGTCTGCCAAAATCAATGCAAAAATCACATTACTTTCACAAAATCATGCTTTTTGCGGGTGATATTATCCCAAAGACACAAGGCACAGACCGCTGGGAAAGGGAGGTAGAAAACTCAGTTAATGCCTAATTATAAGACATATTATAAACTAAATATGTGTGCTTAAAAGGAAGAGGGATATTTTACCAAAGACTTCTGACAGATCAAAAAAACAATTTTGATGTTAAATGTTGGTAAAGTTCCATTTATATACCAAAGACACTTAGACCATGAATAAACTTCTGAGATAACAGTGAGTATTATAGAAGTCTATATGTCTAGGGCTATTTCAAAATCAACACATTGCAAGGTTGGAGATTTGTTTGGAATCCAATATTACCTACATTTTCTTTTTCCATGTCAAACTACATATGTTCATTGTAAACCAATATACTATTAAATAAACCATTCCTGCCCCCCTCCCTAACTCGACAACCCACACACAAATATCCATACCTGGTATTTTTTCAGTACATATTCCTATGGCTTTTGAATAATAATGAGAAATGACAGTCTTTTCTGTACAGTATATTCTTCATATTACTTTGGAGTAGTAATGAAAAACAGCTGTATCTTTCTTTATACTGCTAGGACTTTTGAATAATAATAAGAAATGACTTATTTTTTCTGTACACCGTTATGTCTTTTCTGTACACTGCTATGTGAGTGATGGGGTTTACCCCGGATCTGTCTACCATTCTTTATATTAAAATTAGTTTCAATATGTGATGAGCAGTTGGGCCTCTGAAGAGTTCTTCCCATCCCTATAACTCATTCTGAAACAGCTGTTACCTTATTGGAACCTTCAAACTCATATAACTTGGATTCCATTTGTTTAACTATTTTCATATGAGCCTGTTCCATATCCTTGCGATCACGGTCTTGTTTCTGCTGAAAGTTGCTTTGCATCTGAAAAAAACAAGACCTGTAATGAGTAATCTTCAATCATATTGTGTTTCCTTTTCTTCATAAGTTTCAGGATGTCTGATTTTAATTTCAAGTTCAAATTTTCTTTTCAATAAATGAACATTTAAATATTACAAATATTAAGGCTATGGGAAAGAATTGCAAATGATCTTAAACATGACACTAAAGTATCTTACAAAACTCTTATACGAATAAGATTCATCAGTTTGGTATGATTGATAAAGGCATTTACACTCTTTGCTTGACAAAGGAAACAGATATTTTCGATTTGTCATCGTGTCTTTGACTAATACTTATGTAAATCGTATCGCTCCATCTGTTAAAAGGAAACAGACACTTTCGAAAGGTCGCAAAAGAAGTTTTCAATTCCTGCTTGTGTTCAAAACAAATTTAGCCTTTATTACAAAACTTGTGTTTGTTTGAATGTTTATATACAACCCATCAATATGAATAGCTGGGTGATTACATCAGGATCAACATGCATATTAACCCTTTTTCCAATTAATTCCAATATAATCCATACCTCTCCAAACCTGGTCTGGATAATCTGTTTGTTTCATTTAAATTCAGTACAAATGAAGAAAAAAAATATTGCACAGTTTGCATTCTTGCAATGCCATTTAAAAAAAAATAAAAATTGGTCCTTAGTCCAACACAATATTTGTTACACAATAAACCAGATATCAATAATATATAAATATTGTAATATCAGATATACCCAGACCTTCAACCGGATCACGATCTACACATTTCAATGTAAACCAAAACTCTGTAATCTGACAACCTGGCTATTAACACTGAAATACTATTCCTTGAGAAATAGAGTTTAAATGTAATGTTGGCAGTCGTGAACAGACTTTTATCATCAGATTCATTCTATCAAAGTATGACATAGAAAACGATACCTGCAGAGTTTTCTCCTTTTCTGTAGCCATCTCATGTTTGTGTCTGGCCGAAAGGTCAGTCATTCTAGCTGTCCACTCCGCCTTCAAATGGTCCAGCTCTATAGACTTAGATGACAGCGTCTGTAGTAAAATAAAGGGTGTCAATGAAAAGTGGAGTTTGGATGATGGATTGTATTACTATAACTGTGTGAATGGAATTTGTTTTTGATCAAAAGTTTATAAACTACAACTTTTTCTAATTTTACTAAACACAGACTTTCCTTTGGAAATGAATAACTGGGATTTACCACATGATGTCAGATGATGTCACTAGTTGTATCAGGTAATAGACTAAACACCCAGTTTAACGATATTTTCTACACAACATATTTAAAGCGCATTTATATTAATATTAATACATGTGTTTGAGTACTAACTGTGCTATAACAGGAAGGTACCAACCTCCTGTGTCTGATGTAACTTGTGGTTGAGGTCAGCATCTGTGTGCTCTAATCTCTGCTGTAGCAACGCATTGGTGTCCTATTAAGGAAAAAAACAAAACATCAGTGTAATATATATACTGATATTTTCATATCAAAGTAAAAAAATGTCTTTATTTTTTCCCCAGGTAAAATATCACAGACTTATAAGAATTGCATAGCTTTGGTGTTTGGCCTGGGAAATCGATTCAAAACAGGCTAAATAAACTGAATCAAGACCTATAGCTTTACTAGATATCTCTGTAATCAAAATTAATTTATTGAACTATGTATCACTTTATGTAACAGTGACTAACCTCTTATCCAATTGTTGGACTGAAGCTACAATCTGTACCCCTGGTCACAATACACAATCCTTAACTCATTCACCCCTGAAATTTCATAATGAAGCATTCCAACATTTGAACTGGAATGGTTTAAATGTGTCTTCAAGGGTGAATGAATTAATTTTACAACAGCCTGTTCCAATATGAATTGGGAAAATATAGAAATATTTTTTTTATTGAAATTGGGAAGATATTCCTCACTTTCCCTTCATATTGGGAAAATCAACACTTTTTAACCAGGGGAAGCAGCCTGTATTCGGCTGTAAAACTAGGCAAAAACAATTCCTGAGTCAAAGCACAAAGTTATCGTGTAATTAATTACTCTTAGCTGCTTCAGGCAATCTGCTAGGTACTTCTTTACATCAGAATCAGTGCCTGGGAAGAACTTGAGACTGAGGTGGGTGAGGTGTTTGAATGGATTAGTCTCTATCACGTTCAGCACAGACATAGTTCTGTCACCACTCACAGAACTCTGAGACACGAAATGGAGCACAAATCTGAAATGGATCAAAGTTAATTCAATTGTTACATTCAAGATTCAAGATTCAAGAAGCTTTATTTAACGTCGCATATACATGTACATACTGATAGTTTTTCTTTCTCCGAATTTTCAAGTTTGATTCATGATATCTACATATATTATATCTACATATATATATTCTGTGTTTTCATTGGTAAGCCATATCAAATCTAAATTGTGTTAACATATTTGTTTTCTTGCAAGCCTTCAACTTTCTTAAAGAAAATGATGTGTGGTCATGCATGTTTAAAGACTGATTATATATAATTAACACAACTTTGTTGTGATTTCAGTGTTACTTAAAATTTTCAAAATCTGATATCATCATATTACATGTACAGCATGAATACATACTTGGGCATTTCCTTGTGTTCCTCCCGTAAACACATATCCAAAAGATCAATAAATTTCTGAGGGAAAGCTCCAAAATCTACCAACAGGCCCTGTTGTGTTTTTAAACTGTGAAAAAAAAGGAACAACATAATAATTTATAACACTTTTCGGGATAATTTCAAAATGTTTTAACTTCTTAAAACGGTCTGCAACCTTTAATCTCTTTTTGTTAGTATTTAGATAAACAGGAAAGAAACTTTTGTATACCAGCAGAAAAGTGGTGGAACAGTACCTTTAAATTCCATATCTCGATTCAAATATATATATAAATATACATACAAGATAATCTTTAATATGTTCCTGGTGTTGTGAGTGATTCTAATGAATGAATTTGAATTCCAAACAACATTGATAATATGCATAATGAGGAAAGTCTAATATAGTGGGTTTTCTCTCTCTATTTTTTAATATACAGGTAATTTTAATTTGTTGCTGAAATTGGACCATTAAATTACCTCTGGAAATCTTCTTCTCCTATACGCAGAGTGTATAAAAAGAATAGGTCTTTTTCATCTGTCATTTTAACAACCAGTTCCTGTCAATATAAAAAAGGACAAATATTTAACATTTATTTTAAACAAAACAATGAATTATAATGACAGCTTGAATAGAACATATTATTTGAATATTGTACAGTAAATATATATAATTTGACTGGCTAAGGCTATTTGGAATATGTCTTAATATTGATTTTGATGTACTGTTATTGAATTTATTGAAGTAACATTAGGTACTAAAATTTTGTTAATGGGAATATATTTTCACAACAAGCAGTACAACAAGTATATTACAGCCTACCCTCGGCAGTAAGTATATTACAGCCTCAACAGTAAGTATGTTACAACCTCAACAGTAAGTATGTTACAGCCTCAACAGTAAGTATGTTAGTCTAGACAGTAAGTATGTTACAACCTTGACAGTAAGTATATTACAGCCTCGACAGTAAGTATATTACAGCCTTGACAGTAAGTATATTACAACCTCGACATTAAGTAAATTACAGCCTTGACAGTAAGTATGTTACAGCCTCGACAGTAAGTATATTACAGCCTAAACAGTAAGTATGTTACAGCCTCGACAGTAAGTATGTTACAGCCTCAACAGTAAGTATGTTACAGCCTCAACAGTAAGTATGTTACAGCCTTGACAGTACGTTTGTTACAGCCTCAACAGTAAGTATGTTACAGCCTCAACAGTAAGTATGTTACAGTTTCGACAGTAAGTATGTTACAGCCTTAGAAGTAAGTGTATCACAGCCTACCCTCAGTTGTAAGTATATTACAGGCTCAACAGTAAGTGTATTACAGCCTGCCCTCGGTTGTAAGTATATTATAGCCTCAACAGTAAGTGTATTAAAGCCTGCCCTCGGCAGTAAGTATATTACAGCCTGCCCTCGGTTGTAAGTATATTACATCCTCAACAGTAAGTATATTACAGCCTCGACAGTAAGTAAATTACAGCCTCAACATTAAGTATTTAACAGCCTCGATAGTTAGTATATTCGACCTCAACAGTAAGTATATTACAGCTTCAACAGTAAGTATATTACAGCCTCGACATTAAGTGTATTACAGCCCTAAAAGTAAGTATGTTACAGCCTCAACAGAATGTATATTACAGCCTTGACAGTAAGTATACTACAGCCTCGACATTAAGTATATTACAGCCTCAACATTAAGTATATTATAGCCTTGACATTAAGTATGTTACAGCCTCAACAGTATGTATATTACAGCCTCAACAGTAAGTATGTTACAGCCTCGACAGTACGTATGTAACAGCCTCCACAGTAAGTATGTTACAGCCTCAACAGTATGCTACAGCCTCGACAGTAAGTATGTTACAGCCTCGACAGTAAGTATGTTACAGCCTCGACAGGAAGTATATTACAGCCTCAACAGTAAGTATGTTATGGCCTCAACAGTAAGTATGTTACAGCCTCAACAGTATGTATATTACAGCCTCAACAGTAAGTAAATTACAGCCTCAACAGTAAGTATTTAACAGCCTCGACAGTAAGTACATTACAGCCTCAACAGTAAGTATATTATAGCCTTGACATTAAGTATACTACAGCCTCAACAGTAAGTATGTTACAGCCTTGACAGTACGTTTGTTACAGCCTCAACAGTAAGTATGTTATGTTACAACCTTGACAGTAAGTATATTACAGCCTCAACATTAAGTATGTTATGGCCTCAACAGTAAGCATGTTACAGCCTCGACAGTACGTATGTTACAGCCTCGACAGTCCGTATGTACCAGCCTCCCCAGTAAGTATGTTACAGCCTCAACAGTACGTATGTAACAGCCTCCACAGTAAGTATGATACAGCCTCAACAGTAAGTATATTACAGCCTTGTCAGTAAGTATATTACAGCCTCGACATTTAGTGTATTACAGCCCTAAAAGTAAGTATTTTACAGCCTCAACAGAATGTATATTACAGCCTTGACAGTAAGTATATTACAGCCCTGACAGTAAGTATATTACAGCCTCAACAGTATTTAACAGCCTCGACAGTAAGTATATTACAGCCTCAACATTAACTATGTTACAGCCTCAACAGTAAGTATATTAAAGCCTTAGCAGTAAGTGTATCACAGCCTACCCTCAGTTGTAAGTATACTACAGCCTTAACAGTAAGTATGTTACAGCCTCGACATTAAGTATATTACAACCTCAACATTAAGTATATTACAGCCTCGACAGTAAGTATATTACAGCCTCTACATTAAGTGTATTACAGCCCTAAAAGTAAGTATTTTACAGCCTCAACAGAATGTATATTACAGCCTCGACAGTAAGTATGTTACAGTCTCAAGTAGGTTACAGCCTCGACAGTAAGTATGTGACAGCCTCGACAGGAAGTATATTACAGCCTCAACAGTAAGGATGTTATGGCCTCAACAGTAAGTATGTTACAGCCTTGACAGTAAGTATATATTACAGCCTCATGAACAGTAAGTATTATTAAAGCCTGCCCTCGGCAGTAAGTATATTACAGCCTCGACATTGAGTATATTACAGCCTCAACAGTAAGTATTTAACAGCCTCGACAGTAAGTATATTACAGCCTCAACAGTATTTAACAGCCTCGACAGTAAGTATATTACAGCCTCAACAGTATTTAACAGCCTCGACAGTAAGTATATTACAGCCTCTACATTAAGTGTATTACAGCCCTAAAAGTAAGTATGTTACAGTCTCAACAGAATGTTTATTACAGCCTTGACAGTAAGTATATTACAGCCCTGACAGTAAGTATATTACGGCCTCGACATTAAGCATATTACATCCTCAACATTAAGTATATTACAGCCTCGACAGTAAGAATATTACAGCCTCAACATTAAGTATATTATAGCCTCAACAGTAAGTGTATTACAGCCTGCCCTCGGTTGTAAGTATATTACATCCTCAACAGTAAGTATATTACATCCTACCCTCGGCAGTAAGTATATTACAGCCTCGACAGTAAGTATGTTATGGCCTCAACAGTAAGTATATTACAGCCTTCCCTCGGCAGTAAGTATATTACAGCCTCGACATTAACTATATTACAGCTTCAACAGTAAGTATGTTACAGCCTCGACAGTACTTATGTAACAGCCTCCACAGTAAGTATGTTACAGCCTCAATAGTATGCTACAGCCTCGACAGTAAGTATGTTACAGTCTAGACAGTAAGTATATTAAAGCCTTGACAGTAAGTATATTACAGCCCTGACAGTAAGTATATTACAGCCTCGACATTGAGTATATTACAGCCTCAACATTAAGTAAATTACAGCCTCAACAGTAAGTATTTAACAGCCTTGACAGTAAGTATACTAGTCTCGACATTAAGCTCAACAGAATGTATATTACAGCCTTGACAGTAAGTATACTACAGCCTCGACATTAAGTATATTACAGCATCAACAGTAAGTATGTTACAGCCTCGACAGGAAGTATATTACAGCCTCAGCAGTAAGTATGTTATGGCCTCAACAGTAAGTATGTTACAGTCTCGAGTATGTTACAGCCTCAACAGTAAGTATGTTATGACCTCAACAGTAAGTATGTTACAGCCTCGACATTAAGTATATTACATCCTCAACATTAAGTATATTACAGCCTCGACAGTAAGTATATTACAGCCTCTACATTAAGTGTATTACAGCCCTAAAAGTAAGTATTTTACAGCCTCAACAGAATGTATATTACAGCCTCAACAGAATGTATATTACAGCCTCAACAGAATGTATATTACAGCCTCGACAGTAAGTATGTTACAGCCGCGACAGGAAGTATATTACAGCCTCAACAGTAAGGATGTTATGGCCTCAACAGTAAGTATGTTACAGCCTCAACAGGAAGTATATTACAGCCTCGACAGTAAGTATGTTACAGCCTCGACACGAAGTATATTACAGCCTCAACAGTAAGGATGTTATGGCCTCAACAGTAAGTATGTTACAGTCGCGAGTATGTTACAGCCTCAACAGTAAGGATGTTACAGCCTCAACAGTAAGTATGTTATAGCCTTGACAGTAAGTATATATTACAGCCTCATGAACAGTAAGTATATTATAGCCTTGACAGTAAGTATATTACAGACTCGACATTAAGTATATTACAGCCTAAACATTAAGTATATTACAGCCTCAACATCAAGTATATTACAGCCTCAACAGTAAGTATTTAACAGCCTTGACAGTAAGTATACTAGTCTCGACATTAAGCTCAACAGAATGTATATTACAGCCTTGACAGTAAGTATATTACAGCCCTGACAGTAAGTATATTACAGACTCGACATTAAGTATATTACAGCCTAAACAGTAAGTATGTTATAGCCTTGACAGTAAGTATATTACAGCCTCGACATTAACTATATTACAGCCTCAACAGTAAGTATGTTACAGCCTCGACAGTAAGTATATATTACAGCCTCATGAACAGTAAGTATGTTATAGCCTTGACAGTAAGTATATTACAGCCTCAACATTAAGTATATTAAAATCAAATCATTTTGAAACTACCCACATGATGTAGTATGTAGTGAAATCATCAACACTTTATATTATAAATTTGCCAATAAGTACATTGCATTGTGAGGTGCACTATTTCAAATTATCAATATTGAATGTCCTAGCTGTTATGCAAACATTTGATGCTACAAACCTTTTTATGTAACGGTGAAGATATAGTCTGCAGCTCCATCTTTAGCTGTACATACATACGTCTGAAATATTCAAATAATATTACATGTGACAAAAATCCCTGTATGTTGATCTATAATATCATCTCTGTTATCAGCTCTGAGCACTGCAGCATTATATGTAAAATAATAATGTTTGCGGATAATTTCTGAGTTAAAAAGAAATTCCCTCTAGCCAAAGCTAGTAATTAAGGCGACTTAAACACTGTACAGCGCATTTCCTTTACACTTCTCCCTGTTTTCCAAGTCTTTGAATTTGAAGTCAGCCACAACCAATATTCATTTGCACCTTACTGTGTGTTCTCCCCTGGCTTGATCAATCAGGAGGATCACTGCTCAACGGCACCAGTTTGAAATAGGAAGGAACTTTGAGGAAGTATATAGAGTGAAGAATATGTGTTGATCACCGACGCTCAAATCCATGATCTAAGACTGAGCTGAAGGGAATTTTCCCTTTACCCGAAGCTAGTTAGGCAACGTTGTCACTCTGTACAACGCATATATCCTTTACACAAACCTTAGGATGGGGCTAGCGCTCTATGCCACGCCCCTGTGTACACACACACACACACGGGTGCTCGGGTTCTGGAATATATGTGATATAATCGCACCCACTAGATATCGCACCCCCTTATACTAATAAATCATATATTGGTATAAAGGGGTGCGATATCTAGTGGGTGCGATTATATCACATATATTCCAGAACCCAAGCAGTTGTACAAGACTAATGATGCTCATCCAATAATACTTAGTTTTTTGTACGAGTGTTAGAGTTAATTACAAAACATTGTAACATGTTACTTGATCTACACAGTCAATGACAGTATCATGATATCCTCGGTATCCTCAATCCAAATTAAAACTGTCAAATAGAATATATTTTAGTTAAATAGAATATATTTTAGTTTTTACATTCTATAATATCACTTACCTATCCTCACGGTCCGGACATTTGAATACTACCGGTAATTTTTTCGTAAACAGTTCGTCTGCCATTGTAAATGTCTGTATACATACACACAATAAGTTAAAACAACAATATGAAGCAGCTAATGTCAATTACTCATAGTTATAGTCTTGACAGGTTCACAACGGTATTTTCGATCATGGTAATAAGTCTGACTTTGTTCTTTGGGTTGGGTTAAGATTTCCGTGACACATGATGGTGGTCGATGTCATACAAAATCAGAACACAATCTTCAGATATGTGAAGACATGCGCCGTAAAAATAACCAGAAACCTTCCAATGCAATTGTCCCCTTGTCGAGATGTTCTGACATGTTTAAGTCGCCCGCTCGGTAATATGTATATTACAGATTCGCACATAAATAAAATCTGAAACGAAACTGATTAAAATTATTTTTATTGATATCGATGCAGTCAATAAAGAAATACGATAAATTTTAAATGTTGCCTAAAATACGATATTTAATCAATTATATTAATATCTATTCTGTATGTTAATAAAATAGATTGAAAAGCATTTCACTTTTCAGCACAGTTTTCCAGAACAAATCATAAGTTATAAAATTAAGCGGGAATAATTTGAACATGACCTGGCGGTCTGGGATTCACGAAAAATTTCAACTTAGATTTTTAACAAAATTTCCACATAGAAAAAGCAATGAAAATGTCTTGACTTTAGCTCAGGAATGTTCACGATAACAGGGTCCGTCTGCAATCCTTTGGGGTAGCGTTTAAGCTTCATTATTGTACGCTAAGGACCAATCTTCACATGCGCTGATTATCAAAACCGCGGAATTAGATTAGACAACTTATATAAACACTCTTGTTGATCCGGATGATAGCGCGCGAAACCGGAGTATCCGGAGAAAACCCACAGGTGACCCCATACTTGTTCACGTCTGATCGGGGAATCGAACCCTGGCCGCATTGGTAAAAAGTTCCTGTGTATCATTTTTATAAAGCTCTTAAATGTACTGAGATATCCGGAAAAGTATCTTAACTTAACTATGCGGTAAACGGTTACGTTAAATAGACAGGACGATGTAGTGGCGTGAATAATGTATAAATTTCAAATATGCATCCGTATGGTTCTTTTTAATATTTTAAGTCTTTTTTTTGGAACACGGAATTAGGTTAGGTATCTAAGTCCGTGATTGGACTGTTTCATTTTGCTGTCAGATATACCTTCATGTTCATGTATGTTCAAGTTCACACACACGGTTGTAAATGCAATATTTACAACGAATGTAATACTTCCACAATTTTCAAATTCATATAGAAGTTCTTTTAACATACGAACAAATTCTTTGTATGAAAAACAAAGAAATTGCGTACAATTTCAGAAATTAAAAAAAAAATATGTTTCGGTTTAGATTGTCATTTGTTCTGGATTAAACGTTTTAAAAAGATCGTTATGAAGCCATTTCTTCTTCGATTCTGGCGAATTTTTCACCACAAAACACAGATTATACAATTCATTATGATAAATAATAAAATGACAGCGACTTTTGCAATCCACATTTGATGTATATATATATATGCGCGGTAAGATTGACAACGTAACTTTAAATTGTATCTAATTCATTGTCAAATATAAGACAAAGGAAAACAGTGATTAAACCAAATTAAAAATACATGATACTTTGACTTTGTCAAAATTTGACTTGAAATTGTTGTGTGCATATTCGTTTCAATGTTGAATTTCTCGGATGAATGTTTGATGCACTGGCAATATTCACCGGGTTGTGTTGGTCACATTTTAGGTGTACGTGTGTCACTCTGCTTATGATAGAAGGCTGGTGAACCAACCACATTCTCAAACAAAAGTTAAATAAAAAAACAAGCCCACACTAACATTCTTGCCTCCCCCACCCCTAACCCTTGTTGCCTACGATGAATCCACTCTGCTACGCCCCTGTAGACTGTTCTGAAAGATAACTGTTATAAGGGTAATCGGTATTAAACCGGTGGCCCTGGGTTCGATTCCAAGCACTGAAATGATTCAGGGAATATATTCAAAACATTGTCACTTAGTTACAAAAAATACTCAGCTTTTCCCTCAAACCTCGCTGTTGAGCTTTGAACAATTTACCCAATACTTTTTTTTCTGTTATATCAAAGAGTAAGTTTCCGTAATATATCGTTACATTTAATTTGATACAAGTCAGAAATTTACTTGTGCCGGAAAGGTTATTTTTTCCGATTTGTTTATTATAGTGTCTTCTTCATCATGGTTATTGCTGTGTTTGTTTACTTGACAGCAATTACTAAGCTTTCCAGAGACCCAGGATTGTGATTAAAATATCCGAAGTGAACACTGACCGGATTTTTATATCTTGTCGAAAATGGCAACTATTTTGAAGGTAAGGTTAAACCTCATTGGCGGATCCGGGTTAAATGAAATGAGGGAGCTCATGTTTCAGAGCTTCATCTGAATTCACTTGAGGCTTTAAATGGTTGGATAGCTCCTGAAAATAATATCCATCTGTAATTTTCGAATGAAAATGTCAACTTTCGGTGCCGGGGACGGCGCAGTACAGTGCAGACGATGTACATGTATGAGACTGTGTTCAGTACTGTACCTCTACTGAATCCGTTATTGGACCCAGATTGGATTTATATTAACTTTTCATTGAAGGTTCAATTTGACAAAAGTATATAGATTAGTACAAATAGTAACATGGAAAAAGCTAACTGTGACATCAAGGCTGAACGGGGTACGTTGTGTTGAGATGTCACTGATGGGCTGATGGGGATTCTACCATAAGAAGCCGCTGGTCGGCATTTTTTTCTATCGGATATGATTTTGCCTCCTGCCAAATGTTTCTCGCCGTGTAAACCTCTAACACTGTTGGAGTTATGTGGATCCATGCCAATCGTGACTAGGCCTAATCCTAATTGTTTTAGAATGATCGGTTTATAATCGAAAATAATAATCCCATTAGTGATTGATTACATTAGGATTCCTTCTTGCATCATACTTGTATGCAGTAATTTTTTTTCAATATTGACACAAATCATATACTAAAAATCAATAAAATAAATTACTTTCATTGTATAAGTTTGAATTCATCAGTAATGACCCCATCATATCAATAATAGAATTTGTAATCGATAACCAAAATCAGAAATGCCAAACTGATCCAAGTTTTAATAGTAATTGATGTACAGCCAATCACTAATTGTCATCGCGTGAATATGAACCAGACCTATACGATTGTGACATATCATAAAAACACAGATCTATATGACATCCCATGCCAGACTTCAAGATAATCATGTGACATTGTTACATTGGTATTACAATATCTTCTGATGTCGCTTACTTTATTCAATATTTTTTTTAAATATTTTGTCCGGCAACGCTTGTTGTCACTTGAAGACGCTTGTTGTCAGTTGAAGACGCTTTTAAGGAGGACCCGTGGAGACCATAGAGCCAATCCATCATCATCATACTTCAAGAAAAATATATAAAGTGGTGTTTTTCGCAATTCTCCCGAAGTTTTATGATCACATGTGTAAAAAATTGTGCCTCACCAAAAATTTAAAAAATCCAGTAACCTTGTTTTGTTTCATAAATAACATGCAAGGTGGAACTCATTGAATATTTACAACTCTTCACAAAACAGTGTTGATTTTTTTTTATATATTTTCTTGGCAACAGTGCAGTGACTTCTAGCACTTTTCACAAGTTAAACAATCTCCATATATCAAAATAAAGGTTTTGATATAAAGATATCTAGTTTTTTCTGACTTTTTAAAAAAATAATGTTTCTGGGTTTCCAAACTAACAGAGATTAAAACCCCAAGAGTTTTCAAAATCCAACGCCATGATTATATCCATTGCTCAACTATCACACCGATAGATACCACGTCACATGCTCTAAAATAAAAATAAACCAAACATCTAAAATAATACTTTCATATTTATTTTGCTGCATATGGAGAGACAAATAAAAAACCACACATGAGTATTTTATTAATTTATTTTTGTTGTAGAAAGCCGCAGTTCCTCTTTGTAGACAGGGCAGAAGTTTTCTACGGTCAGTTAGCAGACAAAGAAAGCTCCACCAACATCCAATGCCTAGCATGTCAAATGCTCCCTCAATAACAGAATCAGCAGATGGAGGGAAGGCTGTGGACGTCTTCACAAGGCTGCTTAGAGACAGGATCATTTGCCTGATGGGAGCAGTAAGTATCAATAGCAGATTTAAAAAAAGATATTCAACATATATATATCTTGGAAATACCGTATATGTTACATTGTACAGAAAAAAATATTCTGCCTCTCATTGGACCAATGAAAAAGATCTTATTACAAAGTCTGTAAATTTATACATTCATTGTATTTCTCTCTCCAAATAGTGTCTCTTAACTGTGAGCAAATAACCATTTTGAGTTCGCAAATAACCATCTGTGGGATGTTGGATTACATTAAGGATCTCCCTCCTAAACATGTGCAGTTAAGTTTTATGTTGCTGCTATATAGTGTTCTAATCTCCATTTGTAACACCCAAGGTTTTTCATAGCATGACTGAATGCGGCAAACTGGATCTTTCTTTGCTTAAATATAAAAGTTATCACTTAAAAGTAGTAATTGGTTATTCAGTGATAGCGGTAGCATCCTCAGAAGTTGCATCTGAAGCAAGGAATTGAATACACATATGAATATGATTTTGTTCTTTACAAGTTGTGATTTTCTTTTTCTTTTTCTTTGTAAATATCAAATTACAATAATTATGTTTAAGCTCATGATCAGTTAATTATCAGAAATTTTCACTTTCTAAGGTAAAGCAGCAAGTTAAAGCAAATTAATATGAAACTTAAACCAGGATTGTTTATTCTGCAATACTAAATCAGATTTCATTTTCAGGTATCAGATGAATTAGCTTCAAAAGTGATGGCCCAGCTGTTGTGTTTACATTTTGAAGATCCAGATAAATTAATAAGAGTGTTCATCAATAGTCCAGGCAAGTTGACCATACTTTGATGAGTCTTTCCATGGGTCAGATTATCTCTCTCACTTTATACTAGGGTTCGATTTTAATGCAGGTACATATGCCCTTGATTTTAAACTTATAAAGTGTTAGAGATGAAAGAAGACATTAAAATCAAGACTGTGTGTGCCTTAATTTGATACATTTTAAGTTTTCTCTTAACCTGGTGCACTGATCACACTTGTATATGTCCTCCAGTAAAAGTTACAAATGTGTATCTGTACTTTTTACTTTGGAGGAGCCGGTTGTCCGTACTTAGTACGTATACCCAATAAGACTTTTGCTCCGTTCATGAATTAAATATTTTTATTACATTCTTAAGGTGGGAACGTATCAGCAGGTCTGGCCATCTATGATACTATGCAGTACATCAACAACCCCATAGCTACACTGTGTATAGGGCAGGCATGTAGCATGGGCTCTCTCCTCCTCACCGCCGGTACTTCAGGCATGAGATATGCCTCACCAAATTCCACCATTATGGTCCATCAGCCTCTTACATCTGGATTGCAGGTAAGAGAATTACTTCTAAAATGTTTACTGATATTCTGGCCTGGACTTTCAACGTCTTAACTCAAAGGAACACTGTTTGGTTTGTGGGCCCAAAGTGGTGATCAATCACTGTGCTATGACGATCGACTCCAAGTACCTGCTGTCTTACTTTTCATCCACACTTAATATAAGTGGATACCTTTTACATTAAGCTGCATTGGTGAGCCATACTATTGCTTCTTTCATAATACTGTTTTGAAATAAAAGTGATTTGAGATTTTTCCTCATTTGTTTAGGGTTATGTCACAGACCTTAAAATCGCGGCCGCCAATATGAAAAGAACAAAGGAGCTGATTCAGGATCTGTATGTTAAGCACACAGGCCTGACACCACTGATAATAGGTAGGTCCTTGCTGTCCCTGCTTCAGTTACAACATTAATTTTTCACTCAATGAAAGTGATATTTTAAATAGGTGTATATAAATTGATAAACCCCTGCACTTTTGTTCAGGGAAAGGATTAGGGGTATTACCCGGTAAGCGTCATTTCTGGCCTCATCAGGAATTTAGTTAGAATTAGTTGTTATATTTGTTATCTGGAATAAATGAAGTTCACAAGTATGAAATTTCAAATTCATCCGATAACTGGTGTAGGAGATATAACAAAGAGGGGTATAAACCTGCAATTTACATAATAAAATGCTTGAACACCTTGTGTTCTATAAGCGTTGAAAATTTGCAATTTTGAAGCAAATTAACTAAACACTGTTCAACATGCGGAGGCTTTCATTTCTGCGTGAATATCGTCTGCTGTGTGCTATCTCTGTTGAGAATTGGAAATTTTGAAGCAAATTACTTCAACCCTCTTCAATTTTTGAAAGCCTCCACATGCCCCAAACTAATGAATATTTGACATGCTTAAACATTATCATACCAGTGTTCTCTCATTGAAATAATTATTGTTTGTCACATGCAGAGGCTTCTTTTTCTGCAAGCTAGCTGTCTAAAAACACAATAATTTGGCTAGCAACGCAATTTTGTTACTATGGTACGGCATCTACACATGTACATTAAAAAAAGCTGCATCAGGAAATATAGCCCCAATTAAACAATATGATGTTTATAACAGTTTATAACAATTAAATGAATTTAATTTGAATTTTTTTCTTTTTATGAGGCTGAAAATGACCAATAATGCCCCAAGTCCTTTGGCTTTGTACTTGTTTCAAAAACAGAAAAAAAGTTATTAGAAACAGAGTGATGCGATATTCCAATCCTGCCTTATGTATTGAAAGTGTTTCTTAAATAAATAAACAATTTGATGCATGTCTTGATTGTGATAGATACGAACTGTTAATACTGACACTTTCCTTGACACAATTAAAAAGTTCTCGTTGCAAAATTTACTCTTTTGGTTGTTAGCTCACCTGGCACGAAGTGCCAAGTGAGCTTATGCCGTGGCGCGGCGTCCGTCCTCGTCCGTCAACTTTTCCTTTAAACAACTTCTTCTGAAGAACGGACAGGCCTAGAGTCATGATATTTGGCTGAAAGCTTCGTTGGTAGGAGCCCTACAAAGTTTGAGAACGAAAATGACCTTGACCTGTTTTCAAGGTCACAGGGGTCAAATATGTCAAA